ACTTCTGGTCTCTGTGGGAAGTTTCCCCTATCCAGGAATCAATGACAGAGGTAGACATCTCTTCAAATGCACAGGCATCAATGTAAAGACATGAGGATCAAGAAAGAGCAGAGAAATATGCCATTACCAAAGGAAAACAACAAAACAGCAGCAACAGACCACGAAGAACAGTGGATTTATGAAATGTCTGACAAACAATTGAGAATAACCCTCATAAAGATGTTCAGGGAGTCACAAGAAAATGCAGATAGAAAATTAAATGATAGGGCCAGCCCCATGGCTCACTTGGGAGAGTGTGGCGCTGGTAGTACCGAGGCTGTGGGTTCAGATCCTGTATAGGGATGGCCAGTGCACTCGCTGGCTGAGTGTGGCGCAGACAACACCGTGCCGAGGGTTGTGACCCACTTACCAGTCAGACAAAAATAAATAAATAAATAAAAAGATACTTGGAAAATAATCTAGGAGAAGAATGAGAAACTTGACAAAGGATTAGAATCTATTAAAATATAACTAAATAAAAAAATTTTTAAAAAATGTTATCTGAACTAAAAAACTCTGCTTCAACAGCAGATTGGATCAAACAGAAGAAAGAATCAGTGAGCTTAAAGATANAGGCTAAAAAATTATCAGCATATCACTAGTCACGGGAAAGGGGCAGAAAAGGAGTGGTATCCACACAGATACACCAAGAACAATTTTAAAAGAAAAACAAAACTTTCACAAAATACAAGGGTAAAAGGTGTCCTTCTACCTAGACTCCTGTAGTCAGGACTGTGCACGCAGACTGATGCATGACAAGCTAAAATTCTCACAGCAGGAGGGTTGCTTATATGACAATGCAGAAGAGAAATGATGAAGACTTGAGCATGCTGGGAAAGAGACAGATGAGCTATGAGAAAGAAATGAATGCCTACCTACTCAAGAGAGAAGGCAAACCTTCCTCAGTATGGTGGGAAAGATGTCTTCAACCTTGGAGAGAATCTGAAGTCCAGTAATACTCACAGTTTTACTCAGACTGTTGTATGTGCCTGAACCTAACAATAATTGAATTATAAATATTTGGAGGAAGTGATGCCAACAAGATGTTGAAATGGACCATCTCCAGCATGGCTCCCCTCCATAAGAAATCAACTTGCAACTATTGAAACACAAATCCACCACCCTGAAACCACTGGAGCTCGGGTGAAGAGAGGAGAGAACTGCTGAGTCTGTGAAGGCATGGAAAGCAGTGGCACATGGGAGGAGGGATCACTGATCAGTCCCAACCCCAGCTGCTCCCTGAGCTGGCATGGCATGGTGCATGGAGCAGCCACCTGGAGGTGGCAAAGCCACAGCAGCACCCTTTGCATGAAGCTACATGGAGTTGGCTGGAGAGAAGGGTGCTGGGACAACTGGCAAAACAACAACAAAAACACTTTGGAGTACCCCATCCCATTTCCCGGGCCAGCAAAGCTACTCAGAAGCTTCCCCTGCACGTGCACAGAAGGGAGGGGCCACAGCTGATGGGGGAAGGGATCACTTTGGAGAGTCCCATCTCCCACCTTTAGGACAAGCATAGCACTGCACACTGAGAGGTCACTGGTCCTGCTTTCTCAGAGGTGAGAGGAGAGTGTAGGAGGTGGGTGTCTGATTTGCCCAGAGGTCTGTGAGTCTTCCTGGGGGACTTGTGCAAGGACTGCCCCACAGGAAAGGTTTGAGGTGCTGAGGAGGGGGCTGATTGAAGAGGGCTATATAGGGGTACAGCACTGGAAACTGATCTGCTTCCTGATA